GAAACCGGAGGATCCGGAGAAAACCCACAAGGTTGGACAGGCGACCATATACAGCAAAACGACTTCTAGACGAAAAACAGTCCACATTGTTATTCAAGCAGCGAATAATGAGCTGTTTGTTTTTCGGTTTTTACCTCGTTATTCGGGATTCACATATGAAGGTGTTCAGGTATCTTTAATGAGGATATTTCAGGATTTAATTCAAAACGATCACTAGACTAGACAAAACTACACATAGGTGGACTTTATTTCCAGGTTTGGCCTTGTTCATTCTTATCATTTTATCATTTGTTTTAGAGTATATTTAGTGTTCTGGTCTAGAAATATGCAAAAATACTAATTTTGGTAGATTGTGTGAACTAAGTCTCTAACTCAATATTATCCAATATCTTCGACACTGAAACACGAATTATTTGTCAATTTAAATCAGCATTGATGTTGTGATCTTACCGAGAAAAGATGGACTTCTGATATCCAATATTTAAGACAAAATAAACATTTTACTATTAGTACACGAATCGTGTACCATAATGCGTTTCGCTGTGATTTGTAACAAGGGAGTCGAAGAACGAGGCTAGACATATTCCACAAGGGTTAGTGCTAAATGATAAAGCCAGCACAATTTTTCTTCATGGTCACAAGATATAAATAAGGCTAGCACTAATCCCAACCCTAACCCTGAATCTATCCCCAATGCTTATCCAAACCCTAACCTACAATCTTGCCAACAATCACGTGCCTTAACCTCGTTTACACCTGACCTAATATTTTTATCTGGAGTGCATGTACAATAATAACTACCGATGTAGACTGGACTAACCAGACGCTAAAGATTGCCATTCGATTGAGACTTTTGGAGTATTTCGTCGAATACAACGGATTTGAAATTGGAGTAAAACGGAAACGATTGAATGTAAATCAGTTTATAAACATTCATATTACATTATTACATGCGTTGCGACCCATTTGTGTCAATTTCTGGGTCCCAAATATTAGCGATTTAGCCCCCCCCCCCCGTTAATTGTACACTGTATTGCAGTAGTATCCTCAATTTCCAGTGCATGCAGACAGACTTTGTGAACTCGCAGGTCACAGGTGCTACACATATAGTTTTTTTTTGTTGTTCTTCTACTTTGGGCGACGCTCTTTGAAAAAAGTCCAAAAACATAAACTTGCATGATCCACTGACCTTCTGGTTTGTGAGACACTGACTTACCGCGACTCCCAGCTCAATGAAATTTAATGTGTTTAAAAGGAGGTCAGTCCTGGAAATGGACACAAATTTGTCGCAATGCATTTAATAATGTAATATGAATGTATATAAACTGATTGACTGTAATTTCCAATCAGTTGTGTTCACCGAAATACGCGAAGATTCCAAATTGCGTGGTAGTCTTTGACGTCTGGTTATTCAAATCCACATGGGTAGTATTCTCCTGTGGGATACGGTTAGCCTCGTTCATCGAGTTGCCTCATTACGAATGGCACTCTAAAGCATTCTGGCACACGATTCGTATGCCGAGTTTAAAATTGTCATTGTGTCTTAAATATTGGATATCAGAAGCCCATCTCGTCACGGTATGATAACAACATCAATGTTGATTTTAATTGACCAATAAGCCGTGTTTGCAATGTCAAAGACTGTGGATGATACTGACTCAGAGACTTGCCTCCTTTAACATCTTACTTGGCAAATAATAGAGACGGGCATACATTACGCAGTGAGCATAGAAGGAGACGTTGCCCGATACCCGGACCTCCTGGTTACTGGTTAGTGGTTAGTGAGACCTATTCACGGAGCCAACTTTCTCCCCATGCATCAACTAGCGAGCAGACACAGTTACATGAGGACTTATTATGTGGGGTTTTTTTTTCAAAGTTTTTTGTTAAAAATAAACCATTTAGTGAATATTAAAGAAGATACACCAAGCCTTGGTTTTTTTTTCAAATACAAACAAGTGTGATGGTAAATATGACATGGTTGATAACTATGAAGAATTTTTTTGTGGAAAAATTGAAGAGTAGATTAGAAAAAAAGTGTTCCTGTCCACATGTATCTGTGGTAGCACATTATTTCTCTTAAAGTATTGTCTTAATATTTAAAGTATTGTCTTAATATTTTTTAAAAAAAGTCCATAACATCCTTGGCTGGGCCTCACTGCGTTGAATTGACGTCAGAATTCTAAAAATTTACAGGTGCTGGTTAAACACACCCATCAGACTATTTATGTACAAAAAAGGAAAGGAAAGGAAATGTTCTCTCCTTTCCTACTGTTCTGCTTTGACTGGGATAATGAAAACCGGCAAGATCTATTTCACATGCAAGGTCGCGAGATGTAAAGCGGGTTAGGCCACGTGACTGTTGCCGAGGATTAGGGTTTAGGGTTAGGGTAAGGCTTAGAGCTAGGTCTTGGGTTAGGGTTAGCGCTAGCCCTGTTTACATCTCGTGACCTATGACAAAATCTTCAATAAATGTAATGTTTTTTAGAACGTGACATCATTAAATTTTTGTTATTGCTAGTGTGAATGGGTTCGTAGGTTCCGGGGGGGGGGGGGGGGGTGATGGCCGAATGGTTAGCACGCGCGCGCTGTATCATAAAGCCTGTCATTGAGTCAACTGGCGTGGTTTCGAATTCCCGGTTGTACGTGACAAGGAGTAGGGTCGCCTGTCCCAACCTCGTGGGTTTTCTCCGGGTCCTCCGGTTTCCTCCCACTGCTAGAGACCCCTACGCGAATTATTGAAATAAAATTAAACCACATGTTAGTCCTGAAATGACCTAGTTTGTGTCGAGTGGACGTTAAACCCTCTCTCTCTCTCTCTCTCTCTCTTAGGTTCCGAAGATACGGTTAAATGGTGGACGTTAAACCCTCTCTCTCTCTCTCTCTCTCTCTTAGGTTCCGAAGATACGGTTAAATGGTGATAGTTTCTGTATTGCAAGGGAGGTAAATACATGTAGTATTAACAGTGGTACCAGACCACCAAATTTCATCCATTCATGTCTCTTTGCCAAGGCCAAACAGAGAGTATAGTCGGTTCAACTATCTTTTTCGGTTTATCTTACGCATTTATGAAATAAAACAGAATAATATCAACAATAATTGGTTGGTTTACTCCGATTTTTTCTGGCGGGGAACTTTTTTTTAGGTTTTCTGCACAGTAGTAGGACATACCGTATGCATTGAATTCAGTTTATCTTACGACACACATTTATACAAGAAAACAGAATAATATCATCAATAATTGGTTGGCGGGAAACTTTTTATTTGAGGTTTTCTGCACGGTAGTAGGACATACCATATGCATCGATTTTGTTGAAAAAGTGAGAAATGGTATAACAATCGTAGGGAAATAAAGTAAAAGTTCCACCAGAAATTATAGCTCAATTAGCACTTTGTTCGAAAATGTAGATAATTGGGGTCATGATTGTATTGATACCGTCTTCAATACTGGAATGTGTGGGTGTAACATCTGTCTTTACAAATAGCACGTCGCCATTACGTAACGACCTCGGTCATCTCGGGGTCGCCTATTTCACCATCCCGAACACTGAAAGGGCAAACAATTTAAATAATCCCAACTAGGGGTTTTCCAAAACATTACGTTGGGTCATTAATATTCAACTTTAGATTCGCGCCATTTCTCGGTTCACTCATGCACATGCCTGGCAGGTGAGAAGCGGTCAATTTAAAGAAATGGCGACTGCAGGATGACCCGGTCACTTGTTGGGGTAACCTGTTTTGATTGGCTGGTTGTCTAGTTTAGTTACTCAGCGTGTAATTATGAATGAACATAGTGAAGGGTGGGGATTGGTTATGGCACGGTCATTTTACATTTTTTTGCAGCTAAAGCGCGCCTTATGCCCTTTTAGCGGGTCCTTCTAAGTGTCATAGAAAGGTCAGTTTACCGTAAAGGTGACCCCAAACACTGATGCATATAATATGAGTGTTGCATCTGGCAAAAGTTTAATTACCAATATAACCGTCACGAATGACTGAACACATCTTCTTGCCCTTTTTAAGCATTTTTTTCAAGCAGTGGGGCAATCAGTTAATTCGAAATTAAAGATAGATTCCTGTTATAGTACAAAAAGTTTTCAGATTTGCCTCTCCTTCACTGTCGTGAGACAAACAGTCTGATAGTGTTTTTGACTCTAAAGTCAGGAATAATGTAATACCAAAACAAAACAACATTAAAGATGTAAATACTTATAACAATTTAACATTATATAAACATTTACTATGATATGCTAAAACAACAATAAAATGTTAATGATTAATAAATTGTGATAAAATGAAAATGCTATTTTTTGTAACAACGATGAGACAAGAAAGAAACGGATATTTAACAAAGATATGGCGTAGAGTTAATTTGACGGAGAAATATATTCAGATAAAATATAAATAGCGCCTTGCATTAATATTGTTATAAACTCAATTAAAACTTCTTGAATATAAACTAAGAACTTTATGAAATAAAATACTAAAAATAAAGTTCTTACATCAAAGTATGGTTGGTCAGCTAATTACTTAATATATTACACGAGTAGTCCAGATTTATCATAAATAAAGTACAAGTATGCTTTGACAATATAACTCTACGGAAATGCCACGGTCAACTATAGTATTATGAAACGTCAATGAGCAAGCTAAAGTTATATTTATAAATTATAAAAAAAAACTTAATGCAAGAGTACTACATTATGCAAGAACGGGATTTCTTGATGTCCACAAAGTACACCAAAGACATTAAGAAACAGATGTTTCTAATTTCCTAGAATGATAAGTTTAACGAACTGTCAGTATAACCAACCCAGTATGGGTTATTACTTGACTAGTTGAAAAAAGTTTATCATCATGTGCAGTGCAATATTCTAATTTTGATATTTCAGGGCGTTATCAATGTTTCTAATTTTGATATTTCACGCCGTTATCAGTGGTTCTAATTTTGATATTTTACGGCACTATCAATCAAAATACGTAAAGTATGTGTAGGCGTTGAGCATTAGGCCTATAATCCCATAAAAAGGGATTTCCGGTCTAAATAAACCGACATATAATATTTGCTTTTGGAACTCTATCAGAAGGTGGACATTAGATGGTGAAAGCACGTGGTCTGTTGGTAATAATTTGTGAGAATTCTACAGGAAGGCCGTCTGCTGCATGTGGAACTGGCAAATAGTTAATTTGAGCAGATTCGTTCAGCAATTTCCACGTACAGCTTCGTGATAATTCTATGGCAAATATTTTAAGAATTAACTTTGCAAGTTCTTTTCCAGGACAAGCCCTACTGCCAGCACCAAACGGCAGATAATGGAACTTTTCGTCTTTGATTTGATTCCACCGATCAGGATCAAATTTTTCACCGTCACTAAACATTTCTGCTGCCTCTTGTGTTTCGCGTATACTATAAGCTAAAGTCCATCCTCTCGGAACTTGATAGCCCTGAAATAAATATAAAAACAACATGAAACCTTAGCGCTTATAAAATATTTCCAATAAAAAGAAATTGTTGGTTTTGTACTTTATTTTTAATTTCCATCTTCCTTGAAGCTGTTGCGTCTGTTCCACATAACAACATATCGAATGTCAATCATAGTCCTGATTACTCTACCTTTAAACTGTGTGTTACGATTATTATGTGTAACAAGGTTACAAGTAGCGACCGCAACTAACTAACGAGATGTGAAACGCAGCCTTGACGTAACCATCACCGAAGTCTGTAAAGTCCGCTATGTGGATTCAATCTGAATGGTATAATAAACACTTGGGTTAAATTATACGTTTTGAAGAGGACTATAAAAAAAAGTTTTATACTTACATCCAATTCAAACGACTTTATAACTTTTCTAAAACCAGCTCCAACTGGTGGAGAAATTCTCAGTGTTTCTTTCACCACGTTCGATACAAAAGATAGTTTATTTATTACGTCATAACTAAGTTTACTACGATCATCCTCAAGGCCGTGTTGTTTTAATTCATCTGCTATTCTATCGACAACAGCTCGCTTTTTAGCCAACTGTGACAGAAGGGAAGCTGCAGCACTAGCACAAGTAGCATGGCCAGCAAACAATAATTCTAAGCCCACATCCTTGAGTTCTTCAAGATTAAGTTTTTCATCTCCTTCCATATCCATCATTAATTTCATGGCGTCATTAAAACCAGAATCATTCTCTTGAGTTTGTTTCTGTTGAATACATTCTTCAATACGCTCTAACAAAATCTTTCTGGCTTTCATTCCCTGAAATAAAATAAGAAATATTCCATTACAAGAAAGTTTTGATTCTTGTTGTGCCCACGTTCACTGATGACAAAATGACCAACATACTGTAGTAAAATAATAACAACTTCTATAACACTTGATACTTCGTTGCAGTTTGAAACCCCCTTTAGCTTATTGATACTAGATGCATAAAATCTGAAACCATGCTATGTGCGACACAGTGTATGCTTACTGTGTCTTAATGTTATAAAAATATGGTGAAGATGGGTTACCTTTGAAAGTCCCGATCCAGGTAAGTTGAAGGGTAAAGAGAAGAGATTGTCCAGGAAAACATGGAATACTGTTAATAACTTCTGATGTTCTGGTGCTGGCATATTGAATCCAACCAAAACACGACAAGCAACTTTAAAGGCCATCCTCTTGCATTCTGGGTAACCAAACACGTAACCTTCACGACACCATTTCTGAATAAATTGTTGAACGACTTCTTGTATGATAGGTACATATGACGTCAAAGCGTCGTGACTGAAGGCTTTCAGCAATGCTTTCCGTCTCATCCGATGGGTTGCGCCAATTGCGTGCGAAATGGCTCCATCTCCCATTAGCATCCGTACACTGGTAGGCCAGTAAGTTGTAACCAGCGAATTTTCTCCTAACAATATCTTTCGGACATTTTTGGCACCAGATACCCTAATGGTAGGATTTCCCAATAAATGTGTCTTAAACACATTACCATAAAACTTCTTCCTGTTTTTGAAGAACTGCGCACCCTGAAAAAAGTGAGTAGTTTATATATGTATGTACTGTTGAATATATTTCTATACTTATACGAGGCATGTTTTGCTTGTTTGTTTGAAAAGCTGACAACAACACATAGTTGTCTCTGAACATTCGACATAACTAATAATGCTTGGGTGGCCTAATGGTTTAAAGTGTGCGCTTTAGATCATAAGGTCTGTCATTGAGTCAAGTGGCTTGGAGTAGGGTCGCCTGTCTCATCTCATGAGTTTTCTCTATACTCGCTGGTTCCCTCCTACGGCTAAAGACCAATACGAGCAAACGAATTGTTGAAATAAAATTGAACCTTTAAGTTAGTCCCGAAATGGCCCAGTTTGTGACGAGTGGGGATGTTATACCTCTCCCTCTCTCTCTCTCTCTCTCTCTCTGTGCGCTGTTAATGGTCCAAGTTTTAAAATACTAAATGAATATGCAGTCTACTTACCGACATGATAAAACTTAGCGTTTCGCCTACAAGAGGGAATCCAAGACTTCCAGGGGGTAATGGAAGGGACAGTTGTGGGTCTTTAGAGACGTTATAATAAACGTACCACAACTTCCATGACAGCAGCAGTAAGATTAGTGGACAAATAGATGGAATAATGACAGAAAACAAACACCCTGTTGTCGTCACTTCTTCTAATATCAATCTATAAAAAAAATTCTTTATTAAATATTGACTTTGAGGAGATATTTCTGCAGCGTTTTTGCTAAACAATATCCCGGAAACAATGACCGTTTAAAACTAAAACCTGGTATTGTTAATGAAAAAAAAGAGAACATTACTAAACATGTTAATGGAAATAAAACGGTTTGCTTATTAACAGACAATGTATTCTTTTAAGAGCCTTTATCGCCCAATAATACATTCTACAGTAGATATCGCTTGTGTGATATATTTCATAATCTACAGCGATATCTCCTTAGGAGATATCGTTTTACATGAATTTGATTGGTCAGTTAAAAGGAACTACTTTTTTTTTTCAAAGAAAAGTTCATTTCTTATTAAAGGTAACATTTTTTTTTAATTAAAAATGAACTATTGTTATTCAATTGACCTTGATGGAAACACTGGGTCAGTATAAAGGACTTTGCAATGGTTGAATTGCTGTCAAAAAATGATGTATCACTACACCTTAATGTTCAGTAAAAGTGAAATCTACAGCAAAGAATTATATTTATCTATTTGTGCATGTAAGAAAAGATTGGTGATAAATAAAATCTCCTACTCGTCTTTTTTGATATCAAAAAATATCAACACTCGTTGATAAAGTAAAAAAAAACTCGGCAGAGCCTCTTTTTTTGTTACTTTACCAACTTGTGTTGATATTTTTTGATATCAAAGAAGACTGGTAGGAGATTCTCTATATATTAGAGATATAGACATCAACAAATTTAACTTGTCGCCAATTAAGGGTTTATTTCATGATGTTTTCCACTCGGTGAAGAAGGTATCGACCTCATGGTGTCATCATTAAACTCTTCCTCTCAACGAGCCGCTGTATGACCCCTGCTTGTCCTTAAACACAGGGCATTTATCAATGACGCGCTTTACTTGTGGCGGGAAACCTAAGATCGATTGGTACAATTGAATGTTTAATTGATGTGTAAATTTGTTTTTAGTTTTCTAAGAGATATGACGCCACTGCTCAAGATTAGTAGAATAAAGCGTTGTAGTTCATCTCAGTCCCAGAATTAGGCAAAAGTCAGTATTGGTGTCTGTACTTTTGACAAAGGCTTTAGTATCTATATTAGAATTTGACAGACAAGCGATATCTTCAAGAAATCTTCACCCCCTACTCTATATAAACCTTACTGTGGACAATATGCACCATCCATTTAATTGATATAAAAAAAAATAACGGCAAACTGCAATACGGGTTTGTAATTTTTGGGAAAAAATCATTTCGAACTCGAAGCATGTTTGTTCGAATAACTCCGAATCTGAGATGTAGATTAGGACATTCCATAATATTGCCTATAAAACACGCAATACCAATTTTAATTGTAAGCATTTTAATAATCGATTCCGGAAGAAAGAAAATCCAAAAACGGGTAGAAATGACATTTTCTTTCTCTTTTTTTTTTCATTTTCAAGTGTTTTCTGTGGTTCTTAAAATATATAACAACTGAATAAACATCAAAAAGTAAAAATAAATAAGCATAAATGATTTTATATTCTAACTTATCTATTCTACTTCTTTCGATGAACAACAAAAACTCAAAGAAACATGATCAGTTGCCCCCCCCCCCTTCCCTCCCCAGCAACAATGTAGACAATGTACAGACTTACTGGATTGATGATTAGATCTTCCAAGCTACGTGTGAGTTAAGATTAGGTATTATCGGTATCTGACACAACATGTTATGAAATTAATTTCTCTTGATTTCAAATTTTATTTTTTCTGTGACTGTAAATATATTATACGTAGTTCAGCATTTCTTGAAGGAAAGACAGTCAGAATTTCTGTCTTAATCACGTAATTTAGCCGTATCGATTGGGGTTTTGTGTTTAGTGGTTAAAAACCGCATTTGATTGTTATACATGTACATACAATACATAGAATTTAGTTTGTTATGTAACAAATAGCTTTATGTATGTATATAATTATAGGTAAATTGCCTAGAGTAGTATATATAGATAAGAGTTATAGTATGTTATACAATATAGAATGGTAGATTTAATAGTCATTGTTAGGTTAGGTAAGTAAGAAGCTAACGACCAGTAGATCATTTTATAGTGGAACAGGGCATATTCAGAAGAAACCTCAAACGGATTTTGAAATTTCAATAAATTATGTACTTTATCAAATCGATAGAATCCATGAAGATAAATTTTTCATTCCTGGTTAATAACGATTTTTTTTTTTTTTTTTTTTTAACGAACTTCAATAAATATATTTTGCTTGGATATCGCCCTCGAATTAAACAGAAAGGGGGTTTGAGGGTAAAGGGAAGATTTTATTTCGAAGTTTTAACATTCCCCCAAATGTCTAATACGAATTTGTGAGGCTGACCGAAATTGAACTTTAAATTTTCACAATTTTCAGGAAATCAACTATTGAATTAAACTGTTGAATTAAAGTATTGAATTAAACTGTTGAATTAAAGTATTGAATTAAACTGTTAAATTAAAGTATTGAATTAAACTGTTGAATTAAACTATCGCATTAAACTATTGAATTACGCTATTGAATTAAACTATTCAATTAGACTGGAATTGTCAACATTAATTAGTAATGTTTGATGTCTACAAAATGTCGTGAAATATGTGTTAAAGCAGAATAAAATTTAAAAATACAACTTACAGTTCCATAGTGATTGTGATTAGATATAGAAATCTTTCTGATATAAATATACGATGGCCTTTCTTGACAGTTCTTATACGACACTAATATATATGTACCGGCTACAGTCAGCTGATCGATCAATGATCACGCCTCGTCATCACTTCTCAAGATATTTGGTTAACTGTATTAAGCGATTGGTTTTTATACGAAATGGATTAAAGCAGGGGCGAGCCACAGGTCTATTATTATGCTAAATACACGCGTAACCGACAACCCCTTTTGTAAGGTCACAAGACGTCATGAAATGGGAGGGTTTTAAAATAAAGACATGATGCTTTTGTTCTCGCCGGTATGAACTATGAACTTGGGGTCATCTTCGTAACTACTCCTAAGCTAACAAATTGTAATGTTTAAAGGCACGGTATCAAGCTTACCCCGGGGGCATCAAGTTTTCTCCCCTGGGTATGCGTATATTTTGCTCTTAACCTTTGGTTCACCCTGATTATAGGTATGCTATTTCTATCGTCGCTTTCTTCTTTATTCCTGATACTGCTCAACTGATTCCTGCATGCACATTAAAGAATTATTTTTAAAAATAGAAATACAGGAGAACGATATATGTATGATAGAACGACGATATAATATAGATTTGATTATGTAAAAATGGTAAAAATGGGTTTGTTAGGTTCCAAGTATAAAAATAAACACATCAGTTGCGTATCTATCTCGTTCCTCGCGTTGGTTCCACGTTTTCATACTGTGAAACAACCTAAAATTCTTCTCATGTTTGTTTATTTATTTATTTTTGTTTTTCTGCTCATTCTTGTTAAGTCTCCTTAATTGTATATCGTGTATGTCTAATGTCTATATTTTACTGTATTGTATACATGTACATGTATTATGTATGTCTAATGTCTATTGGGTACTGCATCATAAATTATATGTCTAATGTTTAAAGCGTTGTGTATTGTATATTGTGTATGAGAGAGAGAGAAATGGGGTTTAACGTCCACTCGACACAAACTAGGTCATTTCGGGACCAACGCATGGTTTGATTTTATTAACATAATTCGCTGTGCGCGTAGGGGTCTTTAGCAGTGGGGGGAAACCGGAGGACCTGGAGAAAACCCAATCGACTCAATGACAGACTTTATAATACAGCGCGCGCACGCTAACCATTCAGCCATCCCCCTCCCCGATATTGTGTATGTCTAATGTCTATATAGTACTGTATTGTATATTATGTATGTCTAATGTCTATATAGTACTGTATTGTATATTATGTACGCCGAGAATTTGACTTACAAAATTGTTCAGGGGTCTAAAAAGTTACCGAACCAAAGTAGCACCATCTCCAAAAGTTTTACTTTGCGTTTCAAGTAAATCTATAAATAATTTTCTTTTTTTTTCTTTTTTTTCATTTTGTTTATTTCCTTCCTCATTTTTTCTTTGGTATCATTCATTGTTTATATCATATCTTACGATTTCGACATGTAACCTTAAGAGTAAAAGTATGATTTTCTATCTTATTTCGAATTTTGAAATCGATAATGTGTAAATCCTACGCCCAAACTTGACAAAATCTTCAGTTTTATTACTTCCTTACCTATTGTTAGTTTCGGGTATTACCCGACGCAAACGTTCTACGAATTTGAAATATTTTATCAAAATTATGTACTAAATGATGTACATATATGATAAATATTGCTCAGGGGATATAAACCAGTCAATAAATGTAAGGATTTCATAATTTTATTTCAATGCGTCGCCTGCGTATACCTCTTACGTAATACTCAATAAAGACATACGTGATAGACATTTCATGACGAAATTACTGTCGTCACGTGTTTGACGTTCATATCTCGATTATACCAGAATGAACGAGTGCAAAGGAACTGTTTAGATTTTATCGAACCGGTTGAAGCTTCGATTTAAAAAAAAGGGGGGGGGGGGAGTAAAAAAGAAAGATAATGCGATCATATAAAAGGAGTTAATGATCGACACGATCAGGTCTTCACTGGTTTAAAAGGTTTTTGCCCTCTTAACCCAGGCATCAGCTAGTCGGTTAGGGTAATTTAAAGTTTAACACATATAAAAAGTTGAAAGACCTCGACAGATATTGACCGGTTACCCGAGATTTCACTATAATATTTGAAACGGCTTTGATGGACAATAAACCTTCATTTTTTTAATAGAACCTTGGTATAGCCAATTTGTGTCTCTAGTTGGAATTACGGTATGGGCCCAGAACAACTTTCGGGATTTTTCAAGCCAGGCCTTCTCAAGTCAGGGGTGACGCTTCGCAGTTAGAAATTTAAGAAGAGTTGACGAAAACACCACTGTCACCTTGTATTTCACACGTAACCATAGAAATTAAAATTGCCATCTGTTAGTCTAAAAATGACCGACGTATTGTACTGAAGAGCAGGGCCCGTGAAGGGGTGGGTCAGCTAGGACACTTGTCCAGAGGCCCAGAGCCTATAGGGGCCGGAGGTGATGCAGAGTAGTGTTTTTTGGGGGGTTTTTTGTTTTTTTTTAAATGTTGGTATAAATTAATATTGATATAATGCATTGTTACTTGATAAAAAAGTATAAGAAAAACTGTGACTTTTCTGAATGTGGGTACCTAGTGGCGTATGTAGGATTAGAATCGGATTCTGTCAGTCTACATTTTGGAAAAATTGGTGAATCAAAAACTATAGGCTACCTGCCGGGCCGTCGGGCCTCAGCCTGCCCTTATTCAGTTTGGGACTGTCTTTACCGTCAGGTTATCCGGGCCCCGGCAGGTAATCGAGGCCTAGCCCGGGCCTGTATTACATGCATTTGATATATGATATGTTTTGTTAATTCTCAGTGACCCCCCATTATCCCAGATGTATGCCAAAATATCTTTCAAAAATTTCCGAGCCCCGGGCAATGTTCTACTCCTGCGACTGGAGACAACTAGTTGTCCCTAGTCGCAAGCGACTATCTTGAGTCGGCGACTCGCTGAGGTAGCCAATAAGATTCGGTTATGAATTATTATAAATGTGCGTCATGTATTGTTTTAATTTGATCAGAAATTTACTTGTTGCCATTTGATCCAAATCCATTGAAATAGTATTGGAGTTTCGAAAAATAAGCTCTTGCCACTACTCTTACCACGTCTATTTATGTAGTAAACAGTGTGCAGTTTTTGTGGGGGGGGTTTTTTGGTTATTTTTTGTTTTTTTTGCTCAGGCATTGCTAAATCTGATTTTGAAGCCATTTTGAAGATTGTCACTTCGCAGTCACGTGATCAGTTGTGGCTCCGATTCTGCAACTGACGCCGGGCGACATGAACGCGCTTACGACTTTGATCAACTGGTTGCTCGTTGTTGCGTCCAGCGCTTACGACTTTGATCAACTGGTTGCTCGTTGTTGCGTCCAGTCGTGGACAAATTCAGTCGTAGCGACATAAGCTCTCACTCTCAGTAGGCCACAAAACTGACGGCGACTCGAAATCGGCGACAAGTTTACGATCAAGTGACACTGATCAGTTGTGACTACCTGGGTGACCAGTTTCTCGGAGTAATTTTTAAAAAAGGTGTTGGGGTTGGCGTTGTTAGTGTAATTTCAACATCTTTCGTCCGGTTGTGTGGGAGTTGCTTGATGAATTACGTTTCATTACTCCGGTCTCCGGACACAACACTTACTAGCCTGCTAACCGTTATGACGTCCCCTTTCAATGTGTAGTGACAACCAAATACCCAATTATATAGTTTATTAGACGCATCTTATGAAAATTTAAAAAATATAAAACAGTAATCGAGTTAAATGTGCTAACATTTGCGAATTTTGTGGGTTCTCGGCTTTACACTACTACTCGGTTTTTCATTTCCTGATAACTCGAAGTCTATTTATTTGATAATAGTATGCCTTTTTTTAATGCACAGGTCCGAGAAATGGGGTTTAACGTCAACTCGATACAAACCCGGACATTTCGGGACAACGTATGGTACAATTTTATTTCAATAATTCGCTTGTGCGTAGGGGGGTATCATACGCATGCACGTAAAAGTACCCTTGACTGGAATTCGATGAAGGGTGATGGAAACGCCCCTGTTCAATAAAACGCACCTCATGGCACACGACATAGGTCTGGTTATTGGGTAACTATAGAATTTAAGCCATACGCATAATTCGTTCCCCAAACTGGTAAAATATTTTATTTAAATCGATTAATCCTAACGGAACTTTTGGCAACAATAATTTCTTATAACTTTCTATTGATTTCAAACCGTCGTTTTACTTGTATTGTAATCGTCTGTCTACCCCATTTCTATCCAAGTAACATCGATGTCAAGTTGGTATAACACATGTGTTTCTTCTTTAAATCGCCAAAATTACTAAAGAAAAAACACATTGGTGACAGGAAAAGTAACTCTGCTAAAAAATAATTGCGCCAATCTGAATTTCGACAAGGTTTCTCGTCAGGGTTAGCCGGAACAATCGCAGTAAGTTTGAAATAAAACATCTAAAAAAAAAAAAAAAAAAAAAAATCACCAATTTTAATTTTAAATATTTCAATACAATAAAAGTAGAATTGTTATTTCAAGTCTAATAAGTATAAAATGACTTTCCAGCCAGAATTCGATCAAGTACATCAACAAGACGAAAACAGTTCGATTTCTGAAATACGTGTCATTGACATTTTGACTTTTACTATAGCCTTTTAAGTTTATTGGGTAGTAAACATCCCCAATCTAACCTTATGTATATTATTATTATCTATATTATTCTGCTTGACTAAATATGAATGGAATCTGTGTATATGTTCTATTGTATTTCTTCTCGTATATATTTTGCCAGTTGACTGATTAACGTACTAAGTTAAGTACATACTTTCAAAGGTTATCGGACTCAAAAGACATGCAAATAATCAATAGTACTCTATATAGTATATATTATGCCTGGTTGTTCATGAACTGGCTCCTTCCCGGAGTCATGGAGCGGTTACTGTGTCAGAACTCGTCTGGTCAACTGAGCACGTATAATGGTCGCATAC